TCACTTGTGGAAGCATCATTGGTGCTTCGGGCCTCACTTGTGTGAGTATTGTTGGGGCTTTGGGCGTCACTTGTGCAAGCATCCTTAGTGCTTAGTGCTTTGGGCGTCACTTGTGTGAGTATCGTTGGGCTTCGGGCCTCACTTGTGCAAGTGTCGCTGGTGTTTCGGGCCTCACTTGTGCAAGCATCCTTAGTGCTTCGGGCGTCACTTGTGGAAGCATCATTGGTGCTTCAGGCCTCACTTGTGTGAGTATTGTTGGGGCTTTGGGCGTCACTTGTGCAAGCATCCTTAGTGCTTAGTGCTTTGGGCGTCACTTGTGTGAGTATCGTTGGGCTTCGGGCCTCACTTGTGCAAGTGTCGCTGGTGTTTCGGGCCTCACTTGTGCAAGCATCCTTAGTGCTTCGGGCCTCACTTGTGGAAGCATCATTGGTGCTTCGGGCCTCACTTGTGCGAGTATCGTTGGGCTTCGGGCCTCACTTGTGCAAGTGTCGCTGGTGTTTCGGGCCTCACTTGTGCAAGCATCCTTAGTGCTTCGGGCCTCACTTGTGTGAGCATCGCTGGTGCTTCGGGCCTCACTTGTGCGAGTGTCATTGGTGCTTCGGGCCTCACTTGTGTGAGTATCGTTGGGGCTTCGGGCCTCACTTGTGCGAGTGTTGCGTATAAATATGCATAAGTCATAGGCCTTGGGTTACGTCCTGCTTCCTGCTCTCTTCAGGAGAACAATTGGCTTAGTGAGAAGAAAGATTGACAGCTTGAAATTCGGCAATTGCCATGGAAATATTCTAATACGTTTTCCCAGGGGCTGCTGGGAGCTGAGCGAGATTCCTGAGGCTATGTTCCTTATGTTTCCGTTTGTCTTCAATGGCCCTATTCACCCAAAAGCCCATTGTGGCCACCCATTAGAGAGAAATTGGGGGGATTTTGAAATTGGGGAGACATTTCGCAGCCCTTCGAGGTAGGTCCCACCAGGACAGAGCACCCAGGTTCACGCAAAGGCCGCTCTATGGTCAGAGAACCACCGAATCTTGAAATCTGGGCAAGAATGTCCCTCCCGCCAGGCTTAATCCTTGCTTGTTCATCTTGGTTGGGTGAGACCTGTTTCTCCCTGTTTGTTAGCAGGATTGTTTATTTGGAAGATGAGTTTCCTTTCTGTTTTGGCTTTTTATTTTTATAGAACTTCATTTAGCAAACCTTTCCTTCCTTCCTTCTTTCCTTCCTTCCTTCCTCTCTCCCTCCCTAATATTTCATCTTTAAACTTCCTTCCTCTCTCTCTCCCTAATATTTCCTCTTTTTAAACTTCCTTCCTCCTTCCCTAATATTTCCTCTTTTTAAACTTCCTCCCTCCCTCCCTCCCTAATATTTCCTCTTTACTCTTTAAACTTCCTTCCTTCCTCTTTCCCTAATATTTCCTCTTTTTAAGCTTCCTCCCTCCCTAATATTTCCTCTTTAAACTTCCTTCCTCCATCCCTCCTTCCCTCCCTCCCTAATATTTCCTCTTTCCTCTTTAAACTTCCTTCCTCCCTCCCTCTTTCCCTAATATTTCCTCTTTTTAAGCTTCCTCCCTCCCTAATATTTCCTCTTTAAACTTCCTCCTTCCCTCCCTATTTCCTCTTTAAACTTCCTCCCTCCCTCCCTCTTTCCCTAATATTTCCTCTTTTTAAGCTTCCTCCCTCCCCAATATTTCCTCTTTAAACTTCCTCCCTCCCT